GTGGTCTTCTCTCACATGGAGCTGAACTCACCCTGGGGATCCAGCAAAACGGGACATTAAAAGTATACTTTAAAAATGTTGGTGCTTTCAAAGAAGCATCAAAGGAGTCATCATGGGCAAACTGGAATTTTCTGGAAGTTGTTTAACATTCAGTTTCATTACTATAAAGAATTGTTTATGGCACTATCTTTCTCTGGTTAGGGCCTCTAAAGGCCATGTTCAGCTCTTACAAAGCATTAGGAAGGGAAATAAGGTACACAGAGCTCAGAGGATGACACCAGGATGAAGAAAGCATAGTGGGGGTGAGGGACAGAGTGGTCTTAAATGTTTGAACATGATTGGAGAGCCAGGTGTGGGGACACGGCACAAAGAGACAACTGGCCACACTGCAGCCACAGCACATCTGCAGCAGATCCCAGCCTCCTTCCCTGTTCCTAATCTACCTTTCTCCATCCCCAGCCTCATGCTTCTCTAGCCTCTGCAGCTGTGTTTCAGGATGTAGGCAGAGATACCTGAGTCCAGGCTTGGCTCTCTGGCCCATTCCCACACCCTTCTGACCCATCTCTCTTCTCCTGAGGTCATCTCATTTCTTAAGAGATCAGGTCTGCAATCTGAACTGGCGAACCTGTCTGACTCCCCAGCATTTCTGCCCTCTATGTTCTCCATGCCTTGCTCTCTTCAAACACACACACACACACACACACACACACACACACACACACACACTTTACTTTCCTCCCCAGATCTGGCTTGGTGCCCAGGAGACCTGGTTCTGCTGGGGAGCTGCTTTTACAGGGCATCCCCACTGGCTCCATCCCTGCTGCTCAGGGGCTTCCTCGACCTCCAGTGGGTGGGGGCGGAGCTGGGGCGGGCTCCCCCCTGTCCCCTCTACAGGCTGAGCTGCTGCCTCCTCTCTTGGAGCACCTGCTGCTGCCCCCACAGCCTCCCCACCCTGCCCTGAGTTATGAACCCACCTTGCTACAGCCTTACCTGTTCCACCAGGTGAGCCCTCAACTCTAGCTCTGCCCAACCTCCATCCCCCAGCCCTAACTTCTTCACTTACCCAGATCTCTGGTTTCCAACAGTTTGGCTCCCGTGATGGCTCCCGAGGCTCAGAGAGCTCCCCAGGGATGGTCAATGTTGGCCCCCTGCCCAAAGCTGAAGCTTCTGCCCTCTTCAGCAGAACTGCCTCCAAGGCCATGTTTGGGGGCCACCCTGACCACTCCTACAGTGACCTTCCAGGGCCCTCACCTGCTCAGCTTTTCCAGGACTCAGGACTGCTCTACCTGGCTCTCCAGGAGGTGTCAGTGCCCAGCAGGGCCAGGGCACCAAGGCTCCCAGAGCAAGGGGGCAGCAGCCAGGCAGAGGATTCTTCAGAGGGCTATGAGGAGGAAGGACTAGGGGACCAGGGGGAGAATCCCCCTTCCCCAGCTGTGCAGTCAGGTAACAGCTCTCAACATCCACCTCTCTGCCTGTGGGGGCTGCTTTGGGAGAACCATGGGGCTCCTTCCTTAACTATCCATGCATTTGTTAACTCATCCCTGAAGTCATTCATACATTTAACCTAATCTCTGCTGATAAGCCAATCTGTGCAGGCACTGAAATATGTGGGTGTACGGTGGGCTGTAGAGCTGATATGACTCCTACAGATGGAGAATCAAGATGTCCATGGTGAATTGGGTTTGGTCTTATCCAGGGAGAGCTTTTCCCCAGTGCGTAGAAGGGCTGAGAAGGAGGGCACCAGTGTCCTAATATTTGAGAATTCCTTAAATGTGCTAGTCCCCTGCCCCAATCATCCATCTACATCAACCCTAAATTCTGTATCTGGCTCCAGCAGATGTGACTCTGCAGAGATTGGCTGCTGTGCTGGCAGGCTATGGGGTGGAACTGCGTCAGTTGACCCCTGAGCAGCTCTCCACCCTCTCGACCCTGCTGCAGCTGCTGCCCAAGGGCACAGGAAAAAATCTTGGTGAGTGTCCAGGCAGAAAAACTAACTTCCAGCTTCATAGAGGCCTCTATATCTCAAAACCACATGGAGTAACCTGAAGAGGAAAAATCACGGTCAAGATCAAAAGTAGAAAGTTCATTTGAGACACAGGGTCATTGCTAGCAAAGGAAGCAAAAGGGTAGGGTTGTGAGCTGAAGTTAACCTGGAAAAGACTAGAGGGTGGAAGTAATAGAAAAAGAAGCCAACAGAAGAAGAAGGAAAAAAGAAGTATCAAGAAGGATAGGTCAGGGCTGGAGGACTGGAGATGTAGCTCAGTGGTTGAGTGTTTGCTTAGCATGAGCAAGGCTCTGGGTTCCATGGGAGGGTCAGTGTTTATGATGACCTAAGGAAGGGTCAGTGGAACAATATGAATAATTGATGGATGAGCAGGGGGAAGACTGAACAAAGAATATCTTTGAGCACTATGGCCAATGACTGAGGGGGAAGTTAAGAAAACAATGACTTACAAGGCAGAAGCAAAGAGCAATGAGGTCATGCTTGGGAGGGGATCATTGACAGGGTTTTGGTCTTGGTCAGTGGACTAAGGAAAGACGCCACAACATATGGAACAGGCTTAGAAACTCTGGCCCTTTCTCCTGCTTGGGTTGGCTTTTGCCCTCACCCTTTCCTCAGATTCTTGTTTTTTTCTGTCTCCACAGGAGAGGTTGTAAATGTTGGAGCTGATATCAAGAAAGTGAGCTCCCATCACCTTCCTGACCTATAAATGTCCCATGCAGTACCTCCCCCAACACACACACACACACACACACACACACACACACATCTTTACTGAGATACAAATCTCAAGATTGGGGTCTAGAACCTATATCCTCTAGTCACTGATTTGGCAGAAATGGAGGCCCAAAGACTTCAAATCATTGCTCATGGTCTCACATCAAGTTGATGGCAGAGCTGGGATTAGAAGCCAAACTTCATGATCCACTCTTCTTGCTATAATCATTCCAGACCATGCTCTGAGGATTTCTACAGCAAGAGGACAGTTGAGAGCAGGCAGGCTCCTGTCCCCCTGTAGCTGGAGGAGCTATGCTTCCTTCTGTTTTAGGTGTTTTAGAACTCTGAAATGTGGCTCAACAAAAGTCTAAAAACCATTGCCTTCCTGTGCATCTTTCAGCTTCACCCCAGCTTCTCTGGCTCCAGCTTCCTCCTACACCAGCCACATCCTGTGGAATTACAGACCATGTGTCACCCACTCAATCCTTTATGCATTCATTCATCTGCTTGGCTCACATTTTCTGCGTGTGCTCTCTGTACCCAACAATACAGTGTGTTCTGGAGGTAGAAAGCTAAACAGGTCCTCAGTTCCACTATGGAGAGTTCAGAGCCAGGGTATGGACCCCCTTCCTCCAGCTTCCCCTCTCTCCAGAGGCCACACCTTGATCCTCTCTTCTAACAGACAATGGAAGAGCAAGTGCAGGACGGAGACATAGCAGAGCCTCCACCCCCCATACCCTCCATGCCTGGACACCCCACTGCCAGCCCCACCTCCAATAAAGTCCAGCAGGTTCTGAGCCCTGGCTCCTCTGAGCCACCCAAAGCTGCTATTTCCCCTGGAGTCCCACCTGTCCTGCTGGAGAAGAAAAGTCCACTGGGCCAGAGCCAGCCCACAGTGGTAGGACAGCCATCAGCCCGGCCATCAACAGAAGAGTATGGCTACATCGTCACTGACCAGAAGTAAGGACTCCAGCCTGAGGAAACCTTCTAGTCCCTGGTGGTGGTGGGGGTGGGGGGGGAGTTGGACTGGTCTGCCTGGCAGGAAGCAGAGATCAGAAATCCAGATGTAAAAAGGACAGAGAGGCAGTGGACAGCTCTGCACTCTGGAGGTGGCCTGTTTCAAGAAAGGGACTCAGAGTTCCCACTTTCCTTCCTCTGCCTGCTCCCCTCCTCCAGACCCCTGAGCTTGGCTGCAGGAGTGAAGCTGCTGGAGCTCCTGGCTGAGCATGTGCACATGTCCTCGGGCAGCTTTATCAACATCAGGTGAGGGCTGGTATCTTGGTGGGACAGCACAGGAGTCTAGAGAGTGGCTTGAGTGAGGCAGTGCTGGGGGGACTCAGGTTTGAGGTCAGAGTTGCTCCCACCTATATTTGACAGTACAGCCATACCTATTCCTGTTTCTAGCCCCATCCACTATCTGTCATCAGACACCCCTGTAAGGCATTCCTGATTTGCTCCAGACCCATCCCCTGATGAGGAAAATGCCAGGGCTGGCCTCTTTTAGGGTGAGTAAGGTAGTAATGTAGCTCCTATTTGACAGTGTGGTGGGACCAGCTCTCACCTTCCGAATCCGGCAGAATGAACAGAACCTGTCTTTGGCAGATGTGACTGGACAAGCTGGTAAATACTGCCCTAACCTCAAGCCCAGGCATGGCCCCAGCCCTAATACACAGGTCTGTGGCTGATACTGTCTTGACATATCCCAGCCCACATGGGCCCTGCCTACCCCCTGGCATAGCACTACGTGGGGCTGGAGAGAGTCTGACTTGCACCCTTCCTGCAGGGCTGGTGAAATCCGAACTGGAAGCACAGACAGGGCTCCAGATCTTACAGACAGGAGTGGGACAGGTAGGCACTAACTGGAGAATTCTTCAGAGCCCCAGAGATCTCACACTGTCCACAAGAGATGAAGACAAATTTGACAAGAGCACTGAAGTTGATTCTGGCCGACCACAGCTTTGGCCAACCACCCCCTCTCTGTGCAGTTCTCTTTCTGACCAGCAGATGGCCCCAATGGTACCTCCCTTTGGGACCAGCCTTCTATAGGGAGACCTATGCTTGAAAAAGAGAGATGCTCTAGGCCTTCTGGAGCAAAGTCCCTAAATTCCAAGGGACAACCTTGCACAGAAGGGACATTATACTCAAAATATGTTTCTGTTCTGCATCCAACACTGCTGTTTCACATTCTAATAGTCCACTCTGTGTATTCCTTCTTCACTTTTTTATGTCCATCTTTAAATACAAATTGTCCTGGGGGTGGGGGGGTCACCCATGAGGTCTCTGGCACTTGAGTTGGTCCAACAAAGATTGAGAAAGGAGACCTGAGCTCTTATATCTGTTAGTTCCTTCACAGCTTTTGCTTCTGGAGGTGTCCTAGAGGGGATGTGTCATGGGACAGGGTCCAGAAGCAGCTAGGTCTCCCATGGCCACTGCCCTCCTGATTCTTGTCTTATTCCCACAGAGGGAGGAGGCAGCTGCAGTTCTTCCCCGACCAGTCCACAGCATCTCTCCCATGCGCTCAGTGCTGCTTACTCTGGTGGCCCTGGCAGGTGTTGCCGGACTGCTAGTGGCTTTGGCAGTGGCTCTGTGCATGCGCCAGCATGCACGGCAGAGGGACAAGGAGCGCCTTACAGCCCTGGGGCCCGAGGGGGCCCATGGTGACACTACTTTTGAGTACCAGGTGTGCAGCATCCCCAGAAGCTTGTTAAAAGTGTAACGGTCTTGCCTGGAGTGAGGGTGGGAATGGAAGAAGTGGTGCGCTTCCATCTCTGGCAATGTCCAGGCCCCAGCCAGGGTATTGTGGACATTTTTGAATGGACAGGCATTGGGAACACTTGGTTCCTGAGGTTCTTCCCAGTACTATGGTTCTGAGGTTCTGGAATTCCACTCTAATATTTGAGGTTGTCATAAGCACTACCCAAGCAGAAAACCCTGAAAGAGTTCTCCCTTTCTGGAAGGAAGAGGGTTAGGGCAGACCTTATCCCAGAGGAGATGGGTTTCATTCAAAGTCAATCAAGTACAAGCCTAGGGGCCCAAATTGAACCCATAACCCTATTGAAAGCCTTCAGGGGACCGTTTGGCCCCACGTGATCCTTCCTCTTCAGGATCTGTGTCGCCAGCACATGGCCACAAAGTCCCTGTTCAACCGGGCAGAGGGTCCACCAGAGCCTTCTCGGGTGAGCAGTGTGTCCTCGCAGTTCAGCGATGCAGCCCAAGCCAGCCCCAGCTCTCACAGCAGCACACCGTCCTGGTGCGAGGAGCCTGCCCAGGCCAACATGGACATCTCCACTGGACACATGATTCTGGTCAGGAAAGGGCCCAGGTCCAGAGCAGGGAGGGGACAGGATGGCAGGGGAGGCAGGACTAGCAATGTGGGCCAGAGCCAGGCTGTGGTGCTTCTGCAGGCATACATGGAGGACCACCTGCGGAACCGGGACCGCCTGGCCAAGGAGTGGCAGGCTCTGTGTGCCTACCAAGCAGAGCCAAACACCTGCGCCACTGCGCAGGGTGAGGGCAATGTCAAGAAGAACCGCCATCCTGACTTCCTGCCCTGTAAGTGAGCCACTGGCCAGCCTGGCCACACCCTCTCTGCTGGGAGTCAGGTTGGGGGGAGGCTACAGGCAAGGGGCTGGGCTCCTGGCTTAGGCTGAGTGGCAGAAGTGCCAGGACCCCAGTGACCAGAGTGCCATTGGGGTGGGATGTGGGGTCTGTACAGATGACCATGCTCGCATCAAGCTGAAGGTGGAGAGCAGCCCTTCTCGGAGTGATTACATCAATGCCAGCCCCATTGTGAGTGGCCTGGACTCAAGCCCCCACCTCAGCCTCATCTGTATCCTGCCCCTCTTCATTACATTCTCTGTGGTCACCTCCCACCCCAGCTAAGGCCCTGGAATTGTGGGGCCTTTATCCTACCATTGGAACAGGGACTTTCTCAGCCTTCCAAGGGCCTGGCCCATTCGCTTTGACCAAGCCATTCTGGCTCTTGATGTATCTGTCTCCAGATTGAACATGATCCTCGGATGCCAGCCTACATAGCCACACAAGGACCACTGTCCCATACCATCGCAGACTTCTGGCAGGTGGGTTCTTGGAGAGGGGCATTTGTAGGGACCAGGAGCCCTTATGGCCAGCCAGGGGAGATCAGAATGCAGCTTACCTGGGTCTCTGTCCCTAGATGGTGTGGGAGAGTGGCTGCACTGTCATCGTCATGCTGACCCCACTGGTGGAGGATGGCGTCAAGCAGTGTGACCGCTACTGGCCAGATGAGGGCTCCTCCCTCTACCATGTATATGAGGTTAGCAGGACCCCATAGCCAGGGGATAACAGGAGTGGGGAAGGTGAATGGTGGCCTAGTCATTCATATATGAATGTGCCTGTGTATAGACATATGCATACATACATGTTTGTTCACATACATACATATACATATATGTGTGCCTGTGCATCCTGTCTCGGGTTAAAAGCATTGTGGGGACTTATGATAAAGATCTAGAAATAAAACCACTAAAACCAAGGTAAGAAGGTAAGAGCCATAAAAATATGAGACAGGGAAAATAACTATATCCAAAGAGAGAGATTAAGACCTCCTTTACTTGAGCCTAACAGAGAGCTCTGAGTTTCCTGGTGGCCAATCAAAAAAAAAAAAAAAAAAAAAACACCAATCACATATGTTGCTTATGTAAAATAGAAACAAACTTTTTCCATTAGGAAAGAAGATAGATAGGTAGATGGGAAGTGGGCAGAGGCAAAACAGGGGAAGAGAGATTCCAGACAATGGGAGGAGATGAGCCCCTGTAAGACAGACCTTAAGAACACAACAGAAATTTCTCACTAATTTCGACTATCCAGATGAGCCTGGATAGTCGTTTACTCATTACCAAATAAGCACTCGATTATCTTTCTTTTTTTTTTTTTAACACTTTTATTGGTCCTGTGCATGGATAAAGAAAAAAAATCAAGTAGAAATATTACAGAATTTCACCAAAATTTATGGACCATGTAGCAAGCACTTAGGTACACCTAGGAGGAAGAGGAAGGCAAAACTGCGAGCTCAGGAAGCTCGAAGTAATAGGCTTGTGTTAGTGGAAACGCTACCAGTTGTCCTGAGCAGTAGCTAAGTGACACAGGCAGCCAGGGTTCTTGGGGACAGCTGGGACAGTTGGGTAGAGTGGGTGGGCATACTTCGTGGAGGAGTTAGGAAGGTGGGAGGATTCTGAGAGACCGACGAGGTCTCCAGGAGCCTGTGCTCAGACGTGGAGCCCAGTGCTGCTCCGGGGCAGGTGAACCTGGTGTCAGAACACATCTGGTGCGAGGACTTCCTAGTGCGGAGCTTCTACCTGAAGAACGTGCAAACCCAGGAGACGCGCACGCTCACGCAGTTCCACTTCCTCAGCTGGCCGGCAGAGGGCACTCCGGCCTCCACCCGGCCGCTGCTGGACTTCCGCAGGTGAGTGGGCGGCGGAGCTCCCAGGAGCCCTGGCCCAGAGCACTCCATCAGCTCCTGTTGGGACCCCAGGTCTGACTTGGAACCTCGGCCCCTGTCCACCCCCTCCACCACCTTTTCACTCCCCAAATCAGGACCGAAGCTGTGCCTGGTTGTGTCTTCCCCCAGCCCTGTATCTGATCTCACTCTGCTAAGCCGGCTGTCTCCCTCCCACGCCGTTTTTCTCCCTACTCTTTGTGAGTGGCTCCTTCTCCACCGGCTTCCCTGGAGAGGGGCCTCTCCTCCTCCCTTTGTCTCCCTCTGTGGGCCCTGCGCTCTGTCCCTCTTTTCTGTTTCCTGCCCTGCTCTCCTGATCCCCAGTCCTATCCTCTGTTTTGCTTTTCTCTTGGTCTCAGTCCTCCTTGCCCAACTCCCCTTCTTCATCCCTATCCCTGACTCTTTGTCTCTACTTTTATTTCTCTCTCTCTCTCTTCTTTCTTTTCCTCTTCTCTCCTCCATCCTTTCACCATCTTACTGTTTCTGTCTCCATTTCTGCTCTGCACCTCTCCCTTTTTCCTCACCACCTCCCCAACCTGGTTTTCTCCATGTGTCTGCCTCTCTTGTCTCTGTCCCATGCCTTCTCTGTCCTTTCCTTTCCTCTGTCTCTGCCTCTCTGCCCTCTTTCCTCCCTCCCTCCCTCACGGCTGCCAGTGTCATTTTTGTGACCTGCAACTAGTATTCTCACTCCAGTTGCATAGTCACAAAAGTGGTCATTGGCAGGTGTGGCAGCTGCACGGACAGAACAGACAGGACATGTGAGCCAGGGGCCACCCTGAAGGCTGCTGGGAAAGCTGGGGGCAAGGGTACAGGAAAAGACTGAGATGGTCAGAGGGGGACTCCACGGAGCAGGGTGGAGGCTGGAACAGAAGCTAACTGAGGACTTAGCCTGTTGTAACACTGACACCAAGACCAAGCCAGGCCTCCATACCCTCTGTCTTCCTCCCACACAGACAAGGTGGCTGAGAATCCAGTCCACCGCCAGGGGCCCCATGCACTCCAGCCTCCATCCCTTGCCAGGCTGGTCTAGGTCTCATTCTGAGCAAAGAAGCAGAGCTGGTGACGGGGACCTGGGTACAGTTTCCAAACCTCAGGACAATGGTTTCTGACTCGGGTCCCTGCAGCTTGAGGCCCATCTTGAAAGCAATGCCAGAGTATTGGAGCTCTTTCCTTTTTTCTACATTTTAAAAATTCTGATCGGGTTGGAAGTGTGGCTCAGTGCCCAGTGCTTGCCTAGTGTGTGCACAGTCCTAGGTTTGGTTCCTGTCTCTGCCACCTCCTAAAAAAGTAAAAATTCTGATAGAAACACTGCATGGGTCTGTTCTAAGCTCATACAGGTAAGCTACAAGGTTTCTGTGAGGTAGGTTAGAACTCTGTAAATGTAGTTGGCCTGGGAAACCCAGAACAAATTATTCATTGCTTAATAAATGCATTTTGGTGAAGGTGCCTCGGAGGGAAGTCAAATGACTGAAAGAGGCCCTAGCAAGTGGTCCGAGCAAGGTCCCCTTGCCTATGAAATGGGGATGATGACACCTACTTTAGGGGATTGATACAGATGTAACAGGCAAAGTATAAGTCCCTGGCACATAGCAAGGGCTCAGCTGATTCTGCAAATCATCTATTATCATTACTACTAAATGGCTACTAACTTGTCACCACCGTTCAACCCCAGCCTTCTGATATACCCACTGGTGTGCTTGAACACCCTATGGACTCCTGTAAAATGCCTCCTGGCCCCTTAGAAGGCCCAAGCATCCTCTAAAACAATCTGATAACCCCTGGGAAGGCCATCCCTGATTCTGCCCAGAGAGGATATCAGAAGTCTGCTGGTGACGCAAAGATCGAAGGTCAGAAGGGACAATGGAAGGGTACACAAGGCTCCTGAGGGAGGGAGAAACCTCCTGCTCTTACTGAAGAGTAGTCAGGGCCAGCAGAAAAGCGTTTGAGTTCCAAGTAGACCCCAAATCTGATTAGAACCCAGACACAGAAGGGCTGAAGTGAGGCAATCCAAGGAGAGGCAGAAGCACAATGTTCAGAGTTAAGTGTTTGACATCAGGGCTGGTGGAAAAAATGAGAAGCCTGAGTGGGGCGGGAAATGGCCTATGTGGCTGTAGAGAATGGCAGAGGGGCACCTGCAAAGTCACCAGAAAGTCTACCCCCCTAGGATTCCAGCAGAGGTAGTTGTTAATGTCATCATATGGGATGGGAACGTAACTCAAGTGGTAGAGTACCTGCCTAACAAGCACAAGGCCCTGGGTTCAATCCCCAGTACCACCAAACAAAAACAAACAAAACGTATCATCACATATTATCATTATTAGTAACTGCCATTTATTGAGCACCTACTGTGTACAGGACCTTGCACTTTGTTCTTCACATGGATTATCTCATGAATCATCCTAAGAACTCTAAACAAAAGGTTGTTATTATTATCACTCCCCATTTTACAAGTAAGAAATTGAGGCTCAAAGGAGTTAAGTCCATTGTTCAGGTGTGTAGCCTGGGCACACAGCTCGTAGTGATAGGGCTAGCCCAGTGCCCCTCATGCCAGTCCTGGTCCTTTGCCTCCAGTCCTCACTCCTCTCTACAATGCTCCTCCCTCTCTGTCCTGGCCACATGGGGCAAAAAGGAAGAAAGGGAGGTTGACATGGGTGTGTTCAGTGCTGGTGTCCGCTGGCTCTCAGGCCCATTTTTCATTTCAGGAAGGTGAACAAATGCTACCGGGGCCGCTCTTGCCCCATCATCGTGCACTGCAGGTGGGTGGGGACTGACGGGGACTGGGCAGCCCAGGCTGGGGCCTTCCTGAATCCCACCCCTCTCCGGTCCTACTCCCTGTGCATATATCCTGTGCACACTGCCTGTCCCCTGGATGCTAGTAACCACAGCTCATGCGCCAAGTGTAACACACCTGCTTTTAAGTGGTCCATGAGCTAAGAGTAGTTGGATTTAAAAAGAAAAGAAGAAAAATGTGCAACTGAAACTCTATGTAGCCCACAGTCAGAAATTGTCACTATCTCTTTCCACAAAAAGTTGGCCCTGGCTGGAGAGAGCCATTCCCATTCCTTCTTGCTGTCTCCACTGCAGGCTGAGACACAGAACTCCTTTCTGGTTGTCCCAGCACTCAGGGCCACCCCACAGCTCACAGGCTCCCCACTCAAGGCTCCATTCCCAGGGCCCAGGTGTGATGACCTCTGTCTCACTCACACCCTCCCCAGGACTCAACCCAATGTTGTTCCCACCTCAAACACTTATCTCCTCCATACCACCCCCTTCTGCTGGCCCCCAGGCTAAGCCTGTCACCAACTCCTGTTTCAGTGATGGTGCAGGGAGGACCGGCACCTACATCCTCATTGACATGGTACTGAACCGCATGGCAAAAGGTAAGGACGGTGCTCTCAACCCCAGGCCCTTGCTGGAGTCTCCTCCATGCCCAGGGACCTGGGACCGCATGGAGGAGCAGGTTTTCACACCTCCAGGCCTGGATCCCCAGGCTTTCTGAGTCCTGACCCCTTGGGACACCCCTGAGCAGCCTGTGCCCTACCCCATCTCCAGGAGTAAAGGAGATCGACATCGCTGCCACCCTGGAGCATGTCCGTGACCAGCGCCCTGGCCTCGTCCGCTCTAAGGTGACCATGCCTCCTTGCCCTAGCCCTAGCTGCCACCCTTGCCTGGTACACGCTTCTCAGCCACCCCAGGGAAACCGCCAGTAGGTTGCCCCTCTCATCTGCCTATACCTCCCCTGGGGGGACTCCCCTCTTCTGAAATGCCCACTACCTCCACCCCTGAAAGGTGGCCCTGGGGCAGGAGCAGAGCCCAGCCTCCCCATGACTCATGGCTCTGCTGCCTGCCTTCCACAGGACCAGTTTGAATTTGCCTTGACTGCTGTAGCAGAGGAGGTGAATGCTATCCTCAAGGCCCTGCCCCAGTGAGAACCCTCAGTGGGCCACCAGCCTCCATTCCCTCTGCCTATGTGAGCAATTGTCTGTGCACCCCCTTGACCCCCACCCAACTACCTGCCTCCTTGGTCCCTCTTGGGCACACCCTGCCCTTCCCAGACTAGTGTGGAAAGAAGGGAGAGTGGGAAGGGGCAGGCCTACCCAGCCTCATACCTCCCAGAGTTGGGGGAGCCCATGAGGAATTGGTAGCGGCCACAAGGAGAGGAAAGGACGAGGGCAGCAAGTCTGCCCAGAGCCTTGTCCTGCCTAAGTTCCTGGGCCTCCTTCCCTTAGTTCTGAATACTCCTGGCCCATCTGCAGACTCCCACAGCCTTCAGTGTGGACAGAGCAGGGTGGCAGACATGCACTTCCCCAGCCCTTCTGCTGCTGGACTGCTGCCTTGGCCCACATGCCTGCGCTCAGCCCTGTCTGTCCTCCCAGGCCTCTCCTGGCCACCCTTTGCCACATGCTGCTTAACCTTTCTTCCTTTAGCACAAGAGAACATTTCTAGAAAAATCTACTTTTGTATCAATGTGAATAAAGTTAGTGTGTTGTCTGTGCAGATGCAAACTGGCCACCTACACATTTCTGTCTGTTGTGCTTCCAGACTCCAACCACAGCCTAGTCTGAGCCAGCCTGGCCTGTGGATGCAGAGTGATAGGAGACACTAGCCACAGGGGACTGCTCTCCTTGGTTTGAACAGTAGTGCCTAATGATGTAGCTGTCCTTTGTCATGGTGCTTCTAGGTACCCAGTAGGTTTCATGGTTGCTTGCATGGCTGGGTGCAGTGACTCACATCTGTAATCCTAACTACTCAGGAGGCAGAGATTGAGAAAATGGCGGTACAAGGCCAGCCTGGGCAAAAAGTTAGCAAGACCCAATCTCAACCAATAAGCTGGTAGCACACACCTGTGATCACAGATACAGGGAATGCCATGAGCAGGTCCAGATCAAGGTCAGGCCCACCCAGGCAAAAATATGAGACCCTATCCAGAAATATCTAAAAGCAAAAAGGGTTGGAGGCATGGTCAAGTGGTAGAGCACCTGCCTAGCAAGGACAAGACCTTGAGTTCAAATCCTAGTACCCCGGAAAACAAAACAAAACAAAAAGTTTGTTGCATAAATTTGCTTAACCTTCACAAAACCACAGCCAATGACTAGCCCCATTTTATGATGATGTAGTCACAGCACAGTGTTAGCCCAACTTGTAAATGTTGGGCCACTTAGAATTAGGATTTAAACCTGGGCAGGTTGGCCTCTCTCCTCCCAGTTCTTAGGCAGCTGCTTCACGAGTTTTGGCCCCAGGAATGACATGTTTGCCGGATGGAGGTCAGGCCCTGTGGAGGTGATTCTGCAGAGTACCTGCCACACCACAGATGGTACTACAGCCAACTCTGACAGTGACTCTGATGTTCCTGTGAAATGCAAGGGCAGGCTTCCATCTGTAGGGAAGGGACACTTTCTCCCTTTTGTCCCACACCCAGCTCTCAGAGTCCTCCACCCTTAGGGTGTTCCTGATGTTCTTCCTCCCAGGGGCCCTCACCTGTGTATCATAATGAGTCCTTGGACAATGATGGTGTACACAGAAATGAGGCAAGATCAGCCTTGGGCCTGGAGCCACTTGGGAGTTAGGCCCACTTACCATGCTAAGGCTTAAATGAAAATCAGGTGAATCCCATCTTCTTCGAGGAGAGTGAAGGGAGCAACCAGCACACCACAGACCACTTTACTGTTTATGCTCTCCTGAGGCGCAACGCCTATGTCCTCCACATTTCAAGGGCTCTAGCCTTTGGGGTAGAATAGCTATTGCAAAACTGCCAGTAGCCTTCTCTCTCTCTCTCTCTTTCTCTCTCTCTTTCTCTCTCTCTCCCCCCCTCTCCCTCTCTCTCCTTCTGGATGGAGGCTTTAAATTCCTCTTTCAGGGCAGGCTGTTTATTTGCTTTAATAACAAATACTCTGTAGGCCCTTTGGCTATTGAAGGTGAAGCGAAGAGTCTGCCCTGGCATAGAGAGGTATAAGAGGCCACAACTCTTGCAGGATAACTCCAAGGTGCCTGTCATGTGGCTGGAGATCAAGGGGAGGGGCACCTGGCTCTTTCCTCCCTGGGCTCTCATGCGCTTGGGTCTAGACCCTGGGTGGGGTGGACTTGTGCCTTTCCATGCACCCCTAGCTTACACCTCTGGCCATGAGCCAAGGTGACCTGTGAGGGCCTTGGGGGTATGGTTTAAAGGTTTCATCAGCTTTCTGCGGCTCCCATGCTCTCAATCAAGTCTTAATATAGTCTGATCCTACCTGAGCTGCTGAGTACTGGGGAATGGGTCCCTTCATGAGGGGATATCAGCTACAGAGTGGTGGCCCCCAAGAGGTTGAAGGCCAAGAACATAAGCATTTCCTGGAGTTCCACTTGGTGAGGGCAACCTGGTCAAAGAGGGACTTCAGTTGCCCACTTGGTGAGGGCAACCTGGTCAAAGAGGGACTTCAGTTACCTACTGGCAAGGCTTGCACTTGCAGTTGTTTGGACATAAAGGGAGGTGTGAGGCCTGAGGTGTCACCCCGTTCCTATAAGGTCCTTCCCATACCACCTTGGAAAAAAGGAAACACAGGAACCCAGGGCACAAAGCTCTCAAAATTCAGTTTTATTCACTTCCAGTTTCCCTCTCAATCTGAGCTCAGCCCAGCTGGCTTTGATAGGTCTCTGAGGCGCAGTGTTACAGGGGCGTGCAACACCTGGCTCCACCAGTCCCCTCCCTGGCCTTGGGCTCCCCAGGCAGGGAGGAGGAGAGGCGGCTCATCTATGAAGATGGAGGCAGCTCGTCTATGATGATGGAGAGAAAGAATGGGCAGCAGGGTCAGAGGCCAAAGAAAGCCATTCAAGCAGCAGCATGCCCAGCGCTCCCATTGCACACCAGTAATGACCACCCCCCACCCCCACCCCCACCCCCGCACAAGGGCGGCCTTCCTTCCAAGCTCTGCCAACCCATGGCCTTCGGCTTTCCTGGGCCATGCTGTGCCTACTTGGTTCACTGTCTCCCTGGCTTGTTTCTCAGACCCTAGGCTGCCAAAAGGAAGAGGATCTCTCCCATATGCTGCAGGGCTCTGGCCTGTCCACTCTAACTTTGAGGCTAGCAAGAGGTGTCGGGAGAATGGAGGCTCTGGTCATTCCCCCTTCATCCACATTCTGGCCACCCCTGCTAGGAACAAATCAAAAGACAAGATCTCCCTGTCCTTAGCAAGTGAGAGACCGGCCAGGGCTGGAACTACATATCCCAAGAAGCACAGCTCCCCTAACCACACACTACTCCCCTGGCAAGATCTATCAGAGATAAAGCCTGGTGCATTGCATTCTGGGACTTGTAGTCCCCAAGAGACAGCAACAAACACCCAGGGAAGAGAGTTACAGGCTAAGACTACTGATGCCTCCCACCTGGCCCCCACCCACCACCCAGGCCCCAGCCCTACACCCAACATGGGTGGAGAGGAATGGTGTGTTCCCTCCCAGTGCATGGGGGAGGGCGCTGTCCTGTTGGAACTGTGCAGCAACTCTGGATCCAGGACATCCAGCTCAGAACACATCTGGGGAGAGAGCAGGGGCGGGTGACAGGAGAGAGGGTCAGAAGCAAGCCATGAAGGATGGAGCTGAGCATGCACACCTGGACTGGCCCTGCGGCCTCTCTCTGAGACCTGATGCATGGTAGGGTAGTAGTATGGGATACAGTTCCCACCTAGGCCTCCCCCAGGTCATCTTGGCCCTACCCCACCTCTCCAGGGTTAGCCAGCCTCACCTCTGCCTAGTCCCATGGCCAGGGCAGGCTGAGGCACCAAGAGGAAGGGAGGAGGAGTGGTCTCCGCTTCCAATTCTGGACAACTGAGAGGCTCCCGCCCCACCCAGTTAGCATCCCGTGAAGCCCACTGGACCCAACATCTTGCTGGGCACACTGAGGCTCCTCAAGGAGAGGAGGAGAAGGGAGTCCTTGCAGTGAAAGCAAGCGATGCAGCCCGCAGGGAGATGCAGAAAGCAGAGTGGGAAGGAGAGCAGCACCAGAAGGGAAGCACAGTCAGAAGTCAACATTGCACAGAAACCACAGGGTCTGCAGCTGATCAAGGAGAGCGGAGACTCCACTCAGCCTGCACTGCTCTCCAGGGTAGCTGCCAACTAGGCTCAGAACACCCCAGGCCAAGTCCTCCTTCCTTAACGCTATCAGCAACACAGGTGGCAAGGACTTGGGCACAAAAGGCTCAATCCAAACCACTAATGCCCCGCCCCATCAAGAAATGCCCCATCTAACAAGTGTATCCAGACTCCTCTAGCCCTTCCACTGCCCTGGCATGTCCCCACCACCCCACCAATCCCCTCCTGGGCTTCACCCAGGCACTTATCAGCCCTAGGCTGAGCACAGCAAACCCCAAGTCCACACTGGAGGGCGGTGGGCCTGGAAGGAGAATTGAGTTGGGCCCCTGCAACTCAGGCCGTACTCTCCTCTGCTCTCCTGACAGGGGTCCAGATCCTGTATCAGAACCTGAACCAAGCCAGGCTGGGCCTGTGTTCAGAGGATGAGGCAGCGAGATGCCTTCTCCTCTGGGGATGAGCTGGGTTTGGTTGCCTCACCCCTTATACCCTCATGAGTCCCCTGCATGCTGGGATCTTGGTGCTGGGCCTTGGGCCGCCCCTGCCGTCGTTGCTGTGCCCCCCGCCCACCTGCCGGCTTCTGCCCAGCTGCTTCCATCTCTGACAGGCTGTAAGCCATAGCAAGCTGCAGGTCCTCATCCTCAGAGAGGTCGCTGTCAGAGGGACGTGAGACAGGAGTCTGCCGGACCTGCGTGCCCCTCAGCCTGGAGGTGACTGACTGCTGCTGCTCACGACGGCTCAGCTCCAAGCCCAGTGCCAGGTCATCTGGGACACCTGCAAATGTCACAGACACCATGAAGCCCCAGGCCAGGGCATCCTGCTAGGCCACCTCACACAGTAATGACACTGACTGCTTACAGCCTATCTTTGGAACTGTACACATGACACAAACACAGATCCCTAGGGCAGTAGTAAGAAGCATGGGGGAGTATTCAACTCTAACAGATAGCTATGGTACTCACATCCCTACATCTCCCTTTCCTTGTCTACAAAACAGGAATGATGATAGCACCTACATATACAAATCATTCCAATGATTAAATAAGACAACCCATGTAAAATACTCAGCCCAGTACATCAGTAATCAAGTGAGGTTAGCTCCGATGACACTCCTGGGAGGTATAATGTGACAGAAAGAGTTCAGCTCCAGGAATCCTGGTTCCTGGCTTACCTGGTAGGAAGGAGTCTTGGGCCAGGGGCTACTTGGAAGTGAGGATCATTTAATGGTGCTGCAGCTCAGCCTTCTCAAATAAAAATTGGGCAAGTGCCATCTGCCCTGCTTATTACTCCAGATGCAGTAAGAATACAGGAGATACTGTATGTTTGCATATGCTTTGCAAATGTAAGGCACCCCACTAATGATGAAGGCAATTCGCTAACCCACCAAAACCTCTCTGCTTACTTCTCCTGGATGGCTGAGTCTAGCCTGTGACTGTCATTCCCTAGGGCCCAGCCACAAGGGATTTCAGAAGGAGCCATTCGGGGCTTGGGCTCCCTGCCAGGGCCTCATGATGGAGCCACTCCTCACCATTGATTGAGACTGACTTCAGCTGCCCATCTTCCTCTACTTCTATCCGCTCCTGCCCATTCTCCATGATTCTGTGGGAGGCAGTACAGTTCAGTCAATGAACAGAGACTAGTCCAGGCTCTGGCTGCCACCTCCACCCCTCATACCAAGACCCCTTCACCTGCATGGCCTCAGAAGGATCCCTCACCTGCGTGTTGTGATGCGATGCCCTTGGACAAAAGTGGTGGATGTAGAAACAGAGCGAAAAGCACCAGCCCCAGGGCTGAAGGAGAAAGATGAGGAGGAGAAATCTGGCATTGGGACAAAGGAGACAGAGGAAAGCTGTTAGGAAGAGGCTATGTGTGCTGCCTGCCACAGTCACGGAAGGCCAGGAACCTCAGGGGCCTCCTGAACAATGCCAGGAGACAGCTAGGAAAGGGAATAAGCTGACACCCAGGGTTCCAAGACTCAGGAGATTACAAAAATGGAAAGGAACAGTGCTTACCAGAGTGTCCAGGGAAGGAAGATGAGAAGGTAAAGAAGGGGCCTGAGTGTCGGGAACCCCGATTCTGAAGCTCTGAGAAGGGGCCCAGGTCATCTGCAACAAGCCAGCAGATTAGTCACTGGTGAAGAGATTTCCTCTGAAAAATGTGTGAACCTTGCTTTTAAATCTAGAAAAATAAGCTGCTAAACAACTGGGAACATATCTGATTTTCCCCCCGTTTTTGGTTGGGCTTATTTACAAATTAAAACTTTTTTTTCTTTTTGCAGCATTTTCTGCAGTGCTGGGAGTTGAACCTAGGGCCTCATGCACTCTAGGCAAGTGCTCCACCTCTTGAGCTACACCCCCAGCTCTAAATTCTTTTTTAACATTGTATATAAAAATGCTCAGTGGTTGTGTGCACAATAAGGAACAAAGGAAGGAAGCGGGGAAAGGCAGGAAGAAGGGACGGATGGCTCCTTCCCTACAGGAAGAAGATAAGCATGATGGGATGGCAACCAGGAACAGCAAGGAGTCCCAACTCTGCAATTTGTTGGGTGACTGTGAGTTATTTGTGCCTCAGTTTTCTCATCTGTAAATGGGAATTAAAATTGCTCACCTCTCAGGGTTCACAAGATTAGGGATGTGTAAAGTACTTGACACATATTAATCATTCCAAAAAATGGTTGTCTGTTGTTCTGCATAAAGCCACTATCGTTGTCACATGAAGCTTTCTGTCTTGCTCCCATGGCTGTTGTTGTAGAGGCCTAACAATGTGTTCTTGTTGTCATTTAAAAGGCCAGTCTGTGAAGTGCCACTAGTGGGTCACATGGGTTCTGGCATGTGTGAGGTTCTGTCCCAGCTCTCACTGGACCCATGCCCATGACACAAAATCTTCTGCCTGTGGAATTCCACTTCTCTCTCAGCCTCCTGCCTAAGAACCCCACCCCTGCCCTCCAGCTGACAGAGGACAGGCCTTGAGGGGGAAGTGGAGCCATTCTGAGCCCTCCTGAGTCTACTCACCAAAGAGCTCTGCAAAAGGGTCTCCACTCCCAAAGAACTCCCGGAAGACCTCCTCAGGGCTTCGGAAAGTGAAGGTGAAGCCAGGCCCACCACCACTAGTTTCTGTCCGAGAGGGGCCAGTGCCTGGAGGAGGCAGGATGAAGACAGGGGTTAGGTGTACATGTGGTCCTGAGCCACGGACCCCACCTAAGGCATGACCAGGAGCCTCAGAGAGAGCACTTTCATAAGAATCTGCCCTTCCCCTCCTCCCTGACTCCCCTTCCCTCCCTGGTCCTGCCTTGCCACCTACCTGCCCCAGTCAGCCCTTCCCGGCCATAGAGGTCGTAGATCTCCCGCTTATGCTCTGGAAAAAGAGACCTGATCATGTCTCCCTCCCTCTGGGATAATGGCCTCCTCTCCCAGGCTAGGACAAGCCTCTGAGGACTGCCCCAAAAATGACACTTGGCGGGGAGTGGGGGGAGCAGGGTATCCAGGGGACAGGAGTTTTAGCAGCAGGTCAGCTCTTCACACAACTGGATCCTTTCAGCTATAAAATGGACACAATAACAGCACCTACTTCATAGGGCTGTTGTGAGGACTACATGAGACAATCCACATAAACTGCTTAGCACAGTGTCTGACACACAGTAAACGTTCAATAAATACCAGTAGAACACTTGCCCATCATGCATGAGGCCCTGGGTTCGATCCCCAGCTCCACAAAAAATAAACAAACTATGTCAGGTAATTACTACTATGCAATTATTAAAAGTGACCTAATGTCACTTCCTCAGAGAGACTTTCTGTGACCACCATAATAAAAACAGGTGTCATCATTCCCTGCTACTCTCCTTTGGAATGTCTTCACAATCTGTAACACCATCTGTGCATTTACCTGATTAGTGTCAGTCTTCCCTAACCAGTACATGATATCCTCTCAGGATGGGGGAAATACCTGCTTGTCCTCTGCTGTTTTCCAAGTACCCAGCATCATAGTATTCAAAGAATACTTTTTTGTTGTTGTTTTGGGGTCTGTTAATTTTTGTTTGTTTGTTTGAGACAGGGTCTCATTATGAAGCCCAGCTGGTCTTGAACTCAAGATCCTCCTGCCTCTGCCTCCCAAATACTTGGATTTGTACTACCACACCTGGCCAAATACTTCCTGAATTAATTATTAAATGAGTTTGAGCTGGAGATATAGCTCAGTGGTAGAACACTTGACCAGCATGTGAGAGTAAGGCCCTAGACTTGATCCTAAGGTCACAAGAAAAAAGCAAAACAGACAGATCTGGATTCATATTCTAGTTCTGTGTGACCAAGGCAAGTATTTCACCTCTCTCACTCAGCCTCAGTTGCCTTGCCTGTAAGGTGGAGGTGACAAAACCCATCTGGCAGGATGGCTGTGAGGACTGCTGGAGATTACCAAGGCCTGGCACAGAGGAAACTCAGTACACATGGTTACCTGCCCTGCTCCCTTCCCTGGTTAAGACTTACCATGCTCTCCAGACCCTGGGAGCAGACAACTGTCCCTGTGGAAGGGGACACTTAAATACCAGATTGGGAAAAAAAAAAAAAAAGCATGGAGGAGACTAGAGTGGCAGAGAGGCCTGGCTTTGGGCAGGGGTAAGATAGGGCCCCAAGTGGGGGAGGGGATGTGCTGAGTCCTGCTTGATCCCAGGCCTTACTATCAGAGAGCACTTCATAGGCCTCAGCCACCTCCTTAAATTTCCTTTCAGCAAACTCCTTATTATCGGGGTTCTTGTCTGGGTGCCATTGTAGAGCCTTCCGCCGGTACCTGCAGGAAGCAAGTGCGGAGGGAGGGTCAGGGGACAAAGGCAGGCGCTTCTCATCAGGGAGCTGAGCCACCCATCTCCCTTTGGGGCTGCTTGGGTTCTAGTGCAGAAGCTGCTTCGCAGCCATGTTTCCGTGGAGTTCTCTCCTCACTCCATCCCTCCATCCTGTGTATGGATGAACCGAGGGTAATGCCAGGGTGAGGACATCCTCACCCGAGCCCCTCCCTGGGGCTCACTGGACTGGACCACCTGTGGCCACAGAGCCTGCACAGCGGTGTGAGAAAGCCCACCTCTAAGAGCTGGCGGCTAGGGGACGGGAAAAGACCCCCACCCCACCCCACCCCAGTGCAGCTCCCAACACTTCTTCCCTCTCGCTTGCTCCTTCTACTCTACCAGGGGTCTCCTCCCTCCCTACAGGCGTCCCTCTGACGGGCCCCAGGGCGCTGGGGACGGAGGGTGAGGTTCCCTGCTGCACCGCGGAGGCACTTACGCCTTCTTGATGTCATCAGCCGACGCACTTCGCGGTACGTCTAGAATCTCATAGTAGGATGCCATGGCAACTCGTCAGTCGTCAGGCTGGCCTCCTCCGAGCTGCAGGACAGAAGGAGTCAGGCAGAAGAACCACAGCTCCACGCTGCGGCCGAAGCCCCCGGGAGCAAGGGGCGCTCGGAGGTGGGAGCTGGGCCCTGGGGCCGTGCTTGCAGCCGGTGACTAGGCGCCTTCCGTAGCCTTATCTGCCCCCGGCAGACCGGTGCCCAGGAGGGCTATCTCGGGCGCAGGCCCGGGGAGCCCGATCGGAGCTCCCTAACTCCAGCCGCCGACCCAGGACCCCAGCCTGCCCGGGCCCCAACCGCACCTCCTCTGCCGGGAGTCCCGCCCCTGCCCCCCGCGGGGAACCGTCTGGCACCCGCAGCCCGGCTCGCGGCTGCTGCGTAGGACGCGCCGGGCCCGGCTGTGTGCGCAAGCATGCGTCAGCGACACGGAAACTACTAGACACCGGGAGAAGGCCGCCTCTGCCTGTCACACCGGGGGGAGGGCAGCTGCAGGGGCTGCTGGGAGATGGGGGTGGAGCTGGCTATTTTGGTTTTGCACCAGAGCAACATCATCCCCAGCTGGGACCAGCGAGGCCGCGACTCTCTGCATCCTTACATGCAGGACACAAACAGAGGCAGAGGCAGTCAGCCAACAAGGTGCTCAGCCACTGGTCCCTCTGCCGCTCTCCTGATCCCTGGGTACTCACCCAAGGTTGTCACCTCCAGGACTCACAGACTCCCCCTGGGCCTAACTCCTCCCCTTATTCAGATCACTGCTCCAGCCCCAGGCTCTCCAAATAGAGGCTGCCCTAGCTTCCCAGAGTAGGTCAGACCTGCTTTTTAATAGCATCTCATGGCGTTTCCTTCATCACTCTTGCAGAACCACAAATTAGCATTTACTTGATTACCATTCACCTCCCCCACTAGAGTGTAAATTCCACAGGGCAGGAATTGCGTCCTTTTTCTCACTAGTAAATAGGGCAGTAGTCAGGCTCAAAAATGTCCGTTCGATGATCAAATAATGAACACATGCAAACTTCTTGGTGATAGACAGTTTTGACACGTTTGGGAGAGGTGAGGTTAAAGGGTAGAGTAAGGGGAAAGTACTCAGATTCAAAGTTTTTCTTGTGCAACTGATCCTGATCAAAATGATTCCTGGGTTCAGACTTAAAGAGTTAGGGAACCTTCCAGAATTGGCTCCTGCTTTATACCATCTGACCAATCCGCAAGCACTAGTTGATCATCTTATACTTACTAGATGCTGACAGCATGTACAAAGAAGTATTTGAGGACCAAGGGCATAGGTCAGTGGTACAGTGCTTGCCTAGCATTCATGAGGCCCTGAGAAGAAAGGGAGGGAGAAGGAAGGAA